TCACTGTGATCTGAAGTATTTTGTACGAATGATTACCAGGCTTTGATCTTGGTCGCTTATTAATTCATGTTTACCTTGGATATTTTCAATATGCTGCTTCATCAATCGAAATGATGCAGGAGTCTGATTTACTTCAGGATTGTTAAAATCGTGTTGCTGCAGTTTCTTCTGCTCATTGGGATCACAGACCTCATATATTACACCCGCTTTCGTATTTCTCGCTCCCACATCTGTGCCAGGCCGTAAATATGCCTTATCGTCCATACTGACGACAAGACTATGCTCTTTCTGACTTTTAGAAAACATTGTAAGCTTGCAGTGGCATTCAAAAAATGAGCACGCTGGTGATGTGAGGTCACTGTGTCATGGTCTTCTGTTTTCGGGGGTTTCTTGGTACACCAGAGCCACTTTGCAACATGTGACTTGGCAGCAGTAGACCTCACATTTTTGGGCTTTCCCCGATTTACTACTGTTGCTGATTTTATACGCTTTTTACCACGTTTCATGAGCGAATAGTTGGCGAGAGAAAGGAAGTCTATTTTCTTTACCCTGTTGTTGGTATATAGTGTAGTTTCATGCCGTCTTCCGTGATAGGTACTCTTTGTTGAAATTGCCTTGGCTATGAAGGTTTCGTTTTCTGAATCCAGCAGTTGTGGTGCCCCTGCCCTAACTTTCTCTTTTTTAGTCTATTTGTAGCCACAAGATCTTGAGCAATGTTGCGCTTTCTTTGCTGTGCTTTCCTCTGAGAAGAAGCGCTTTCATTTTTTTTTCTAAGTCCTTTAACTTAGCCAACCTTTCTGTTAAGGCATCTTTTTCAACTCCAAGTTCGCACTTCCACCTTTCTGAAAGTAGTGATTTATCTAATTTCTTTTTAAGGTTCTGAATCTTCTTTTCTACATTCTCAATTCTCTTACGTGTTCTGAGCTTCACAATGTCTTCAGCTGCCTTAAATACATTCTCGCTTTCATCTGCTACAGTCAAAACTTTGGAAAGAAGATTGACTGCCACCGCAAATATAACTGCTTTTAATGCCATGGGATCATATTCTGTGTCCATTGAGTTCAATATCTTGTTTAGCAATTCAGAGTCAAGAGGAAATCGTTGACCACTCAAACGACTCATTGTATTTTCGTCTGAAAGTTTTTCGAGCTCTAAAAAAAGTCCGGAATACTAACCTCTTCACTCTTCAATAAAATATAACGTTTTCCAAACACTTCAATTATAATAAACACAAGTCATGATCTCTATGAAGTAAATGATCTCGGAAGGAACCTTCTTCAGAAGAGCTATCAAAGAAGCCACAATATAATAAAGCCCATAGGCATCTTCAAAGGAAATGACACCAATTGCTTTGCTCGAATGCTTACTTTGTGCAAGCAGGTGATTTAAGATGTAAATCAAACCATTCAATATCTTTCCCAGTAACTTGCTATTAGTACATTTAAGCAATCCCTCTAGCTTGTCCAAGTTGTTTCCCACTTTACACGTTTTTGAAGGGAACTGCGAAGGTGTTTTCCTACACAAGACCCGAATCTTGCTTTGCTTCTTAATTGAGAGAACGAAAAGCTGCCCTCTTTTTCAGTTGATATAAACTTAAATTCCTGTTCACAAGGTTCATCCTTCTCCGACTTGTTGTCGTTGATCTCGATATCCGCCTTGTTTTATAATTCCATGCTTTGAACCACTGAAGGACTGGAACTTTTGTTCCCTGTACTCCTGGGATTCTTGTGTAAATCCAAAATGGCAGATGAAACACAGGCTAATGAACACTCGTTGCAAGGATTCTAGAATTTGCCGATTTACAGCATTGCCAAGAGGGCCTTTGCAGCCTTCAAGAGGTTGATGAAAGTGACCTGCAAGTGACTTTGAAGGTATAAGGATACGTGGTGGCCATACGTGGTATCATGAAGTTCAAGTTACATTCATTAATATCTACCTCTCAGGTATGTCCAAGGTTGAGGTGAAACGTTCTTTTAAGAAAGAGAAAGGAATATTTAACAGAAAAAGCATAGGAATGTGATTTAAATAAAGAGTTTTGGGGGTATTGAATTTCAAAGGCCAAGTAATAAAAACGCGCGTCCTTGGGAGCAAACTAAATATGGCTGGATACCAAACCCAAAAACAGACAGAGCAAAGCTCATGAATGAAGTGCTGCCCAAATTCTACAAGGCATGTTATAGCAAGTGCAAAGATGCTTGTGAATTCGTGAAGCTATTTCACTGCGAAGGAAGACGCCAACATGAAAGCCATCAACATGTTTCAAAGATTTCCGCAACTGTTGACGCCATATTGAGCAACAGAAATCCTGGCGCTGCGGGAAAGTTTTTTAACGAGTAATATGTTCACATACCATCAGACCAATTGATTATAAGAGGAAATATACAAAAGCTAGTTAAAGTACAAGAGGAAGTTGAGAAGGAAGAGCAAGATATCAAAGATCACCTGAATAGCCTCTATTCTAAGTCTGACAAACTTGAAGATGGGAAGGGGAGCCAAAAAGATTTTGACGAGGAAAGGATCACTGTGCTGATAATGCTCAGGAAAAAAATTATCCAAAACATTCAACATCTACAGGATGCAGAGAACAAATGTAAGGATATCTTTCGTGTACACATTCTGAAGTTTAAATCAAAAATGCGTTCAAAAAAAGAAAATAAGAGAAAGGCACAGCTAGAGGAGAAAAGCTGGACGAGAAGAAGAGACTATCGGTTTAATCTCCAAACTACTGTCTGATGGTGATATTCTAGTTAAGGAAGTCAATGTCAGGCTGCTCTAATATCCTTAATAGGGACACAAGTTTACTGGCTAAAGCAAATGATTGAAAGAGGGCTTATAAGTGATCAAGGTTGTACACTGATGAAAGAGTACTTGCCCTCTATCAGCTCTTCAAACACTGAATCAGAGGACAGTGATATTGAGTAATAACGAGTAATACATGAACTTTTTTTCCAATGTGAGAAGACAGCTATACACCATGTTATGTTCGTTTGTTATGCCATCATTTTGATGATAAGTAATATTTGACCTGTTGTTGATTCCTTCAGTGTTGTTTCTTTTTTGTGGAACGGAAATTGGAATGCACAAAAATACATGGCCCCTCAGAAATGGTTGAACAATTTTATGCAGCCCCCTATTCTCAGGTGCACAAAAAGGTATGACCCCCACCCCATTTGCAACAGCCCACCCCCTCTAATAAATGACGGTCGCTTACAACCATGCGGCCGATCTTCTCCTGAAGCGGTTTGGAAGCAAACAAGTAATTATTTCAAAACACCTTGAAATGTTGGTGCAGCTGCCAAAAATGAATAATTCGGGTGATATGAAACAACAACGGCTACTTTTGGACAAAACTGAAACGGCCATCCGAAGTTTACAAGGAATCGGTGTATCATCCGAGACATACGGAACATTTCTCACACCTGTCATAATAGCCAAAATACCGCAAGAGTTACGTCTTATTTTAAGTCGTGGTATGACGAATAGGACTTAGACACGGTGATGAACTCCTTTCCGGAATAATTACAAATACGGGAAAGGTGTACGCTGTGACCTGTTTCAGAACAGACGCCAAGGTTGGGGGTGAAGGAAAAACGAGACTTCGGATTTGGATTTCGACACGGTCAAATCAGGGTATCTCCCACTTCATCAACGTTGTTTTCAAACCAAGAAGGACCACTGACAAACATGTGGTGTGCCTTTTGCAACGGCCCTCATCCGTCAAACAGGTGTGCTGTTGTCACTGATCCTGAGACAAGGAAGAACATTGTCCGACGTACAGAAAGGACGATGTTTTGGTTGTTTAAAGACTAGTCACATCATATTTTTCATGTGGAAATGCAACGTCGAACAAAGATTAACAATGAGTATGCGAACACAAAACTCGAAGCTGAGAAGGATTGAAAAAAATTGTCCGTTTGAGAATCAGGTGGCACTGCCGACTGGCCCGTTTCTTTTTCTTAGGCAAGAATTTGTTCCATTTAATGCAAGACCACGTTTGGTAACTCATTTGTTTTAAGCGGTACAGTCAAGCCTGCATTAAGCGGTCACCATTGGAGAATTCACCTCATGTAATAAGGAAATCCAAGACTACCTTGCATTCTGGATTCCAGGTTCAAGAATTCCAGTCATTGTCATTGGAACTTGGATTCTGGATTCCAATCGTATGGTATGGTACATAGTGTCCGTTTAATAGAGGTGAAGATAATAACAAGTAACGCTCGCTTTGACTACGGAAAAAATACCCGCGTCCGCTTAATATACGTGACCGCTTAATTCAGGTCAGTTCCACAGTAATTAAGGGGCATTCTGATTGTTGTTGTTTCTGTTCTTTTTTTGCGAGAAATGATGTTGATTCGAGAGGGAAATAAATTAAGGTAGAAAAGATATACTTATGAACCAGTTAGTCCGCTAATGAGCTCAGAGGCACTTGGTTTTCGTTATCGACTAGCTAGTGTTAGTCTACTAAATTTTTCATAATTTTAACCCCCTCCTCAGTTTTTCTTCATTGAAAAGATTCGAAGAATTAACCAAACATTCCGTCTTACACATTTCCTGAACCAATGACCACGACCTAATGGAACCTTTTTTGATTGAATGAAATTTTGGCTTGACTAGTTGGCCAGAGTCTTCCCTTGAGGAAAAATATGTTCGGGACTTCAGAACGTGACCCCTTATATATATTTAATAGAGTGTGACCGCTTAATGCAGGTCCACTTTATAAAGGTTTTACTCTAGGTCGAAAACAAAATTGGACGAAGCACCGTCACATAAAATCACCTAAAACCTAACTCAAAAATCCACCACGAATCCTAACTTGGCAAATAGGTATCCTCATTCTTCTTACGTTATAATGTACAGGTAAGTCAGTTCGTCACTTATCGGCGTCATGTTACGGGCTCTTGCCGTTTCGCATCACCAGCTTTCACCTCAGATTCGACCTAAATTGTGTCCAGCCACTTCATCTTGACCTATACCTGCAAACAAAATGGTGTTGGTATTCAAGCAGGGTGAAATTTCACGTCGTCCATAAATCATGACATGACTAAGTCACCGTGAAAACTCGTCGCCGCCGACGCCTTTTATCATTGCTCTGGACCGCAGATTCAAGGTATTGGTGAGTTGTGTTATGAGACTTGTTTTTTTAATAACCCAGGGAATAACGAAAAGGAAGATGATTGGTCTGTGTTTGTTAGACCTTAATACAGTTATTTAAGGAGCATGTAAAGGAATAGTGTATTTTTTGTTTTTTGTTTGTTTTTCGGTCGTTACTGTTTTTTAGAACATTAACTGAAACATGATAATCCTGGTAAAAAGATGCGCCTTTTGCAGGTTTCCAGAAATCGTTGTTTTGTGTTATGAAGTTCGATTAACGTTCACTACTAAAGATTGATATTCAGCCTGCTAAACCACCCGGGTAGAATCGGCTGTTGCGTTGAACTTCGCATTACCTATCTTCTTTGGCCCCCATTTGTCAATTCCATTTTTTGTCAGATAACTCTATCTCGGTTAACTTCACCTGAAATTCCCATTTAGACTAATTTTTATTGGATTTTCTTTGCCGATAACTCCGACTGTGTTTAAGGTTCGGTTGTCGAAATCTTCAGAATTGAATGAGGACGTAGTTCAAGCTCATAAATTAAAGTCATCGTTTTGTCTTCGCCATGTTCTTAAAGACAGGAAAAAATTTCCAAACGCACTTTTCTTATGAAGGTGCCTTATGGACGTTGGCATTAGAAATGTTATGGCATACGAAAGTGAAATAATAATTAAAAATTTATAACGCGCCTTTTCCATGCAAATATGATCAAAAGCGCGCGACAACACGTAAATGTTAAAAGAAAATACAATCTAAAATGAGCATAATAATTAAGGCTAAGAATAAACAGGGCTAAAAATTAAATAAAGATAAAAAAACTAAATATATTAATACATAGTAGGATAAAAACACTACATATCAAAAGCTACAAGTCTAAAAAGATGCGTTTTAGGTAAAGATTTAAAACGTTCAAAATTGTCCTCAAGACGGGTGTGAAGGGGCAGATTGTTCCATAAATTAGGGGCAGCAGAGAAAAAGCACGGGCCCATAAAGTCTTTTTCAGTTTTAAACGGGGATAATTTATAACAATAATAATAATAATAATAATAATAATAATAATAATAATAATAAAACATTTATAATGCGCAAATTCCATAAAATGTTCAAATGCGCATGACAAGATTGAAAACGAAATAAAAAGGCTAAAAAGCTAAAATTACAATTAAGAGTAAACTTACAATGATTTAAGAAGCTAAAATTACAATTAAAAGTAAACTCACAATAATAAAAACAACTATGATAACAATGCATGACGGAAAAGGTGAGTTTTTAGCTTGGCTTTAAAAATACCAACTGTGCTGGCGCTTCTTATGTCAAATGGTAATGTATTCCACAGTTTCGGTGCAGCACAGGTAAAAGGACGATCACCTAGTGTAGCTTTAGATTTAAAACGCGAATAACTAAGTAAAAGGTTATCAGTAGAATTCTTTAGATTATATTTCGATGGGAGCCTAAGAGAAATGAGAGACGATAAATAAGTAAGCGCTAAAAAATTAAGAATCTTAAGTATTTCAAACTCGATTCTATATTTAATCGATAACCAATGTAATTCATAAATAAGAGGCGTTACATGACAAAATTTCTGTTCTCTAAAAATCAGTCCTGCGCAAGCGTTCTGTACTCGTTGCAGTTTATTCAACAAGCAGTCTGGTAGGCCATATAAAAGATCATTGCAATAGTCAAGGAGACTTGTTATGAATACATGGACAAGTATCTCAGTTGACTGCAGTGAAAGATACTTTCTGATCCGACAAATATTATAAATATAGTAAAATGAAGAGGCACAGATTTTTGTGACGTGTGATGAACCAATGATGAGGAATTCAGTCCTGTCGTCATTAAATTTAAGATCATTATTCAACATCCAAAAACGAATGCCTCTGATGCAGTCTTTCATATTCCTCACCGCAGAAAGTTGTTCAGCTCTGTCGTTCGGAGTAAATGAGATGTAAACTTGTGAATCATCAGCGTAACAGTGAATCATGGGCAGATAATACTTAATTATCTCAAAAAGCTCACTCGTGTACAACGTGAACAATAGCAGACCAAGACAGGAACCTTGAGGCACGCCGCATCCTAAACTAAAAGGTTTAGATTGTGACTCGTTGATCATTATCCGCTGAGTTCTTCCAGACAAATAGGATGAAAACCAGGAGAGGGCTTTTCCCTGTATACCAAATGTGTATTCAAGTCGACGTAGCATGGTGTCGTGATTAACTGTATCAAAGGCAGCTCTCAAGTCGAGCAGAATTAGCAAAGTAACACATTGATTGTTCATGTTCAAGAGAATGTCGTTCATAACTTTAAGCAGTGCAGTTTCTGTGCTGTGGTTCTGTCGATAGGCTGATTGGAACACTGGGAACGGATTATTACAATTTAAATAATGCTGTAGTTGCTTGACAACCACAGTCTCAACTAGCTTTGAGATAAATGCCAAATTACTCACTGGTCTGAAGTTCTTAAAGACAGGGGGTAATCCATCCTCTTTCAGCAGCGGCCGCACTAGAGCACACTTCCAGGTGCGCGGAAAATAACCAGAATCAAGCGAAAGATTAATTATTTTGGTGATCGGAGGCAGTAGCACATCGACACACTCATTAAGAAGCTTGATTGGAATAGGATCAAGAGCACAAGACTTCTTAGACGAAGCTGTGACTAGATCAAACACCTCTGATTCGGACAACAGATTAAATTCTGAAAAACAGGAGGCAGTCACAGTTCTGGTTGCGTTGATAGGAAGGCAGATCTGGTTTGTATTAACAGACCTGATATCAGCAATTTTTTGGGCGAAGAATTTTCCAGAATCATTAGCCAACTGGTAATCATTGATAGATAATGCAAGGCCAGAACCTTTCGATAAATTTATCAAGGACTTGCTTGCTCTAAATAACCTCCTCTGGTCTGTGCTGTTCTCAGTTATGAAGTTTGTATAATAGTCACTACGAGCCTTGTTACTCAGAAACGTCACACGATTTCTCATAGTACGGTAAGACAGTAAATCGATGTGTGCTTTAGAAGCTCTCCATTTTCTTTCAGCTTTCCTCCTTTGTCGTTTAGCCAATTTAATTTCGTCGTTCATCCATGGAACACATGGTCGACTAGTAGTATTCTTATGCTTAACAGGAGCATGACGATCCAGCAGGGAACGCAATGTATTGTCAAATAAGGCAGCAAGCTCATCAGGATCATCGATCAGTATCCATTTGGAAAAGTTCGCTATTACGAGTTTCATCAATAAATGCATTTCTATTAATTGATCGCAGCTTCCTAAATGAGACACGGCCAACTTTGAGAGGTGGTCGAGCTGTTTTCAATTCATCGGGAGAAATGGCCATTGTTCTCGGGACATTTACTTACAGTAGGTGAAAGCTTTTAGGTCTGTCATATCGCTTATTGTTATACAAAAATGCTGAACAGGAGTCTTTTTCATTGGTTACCATGAACGCGCGGCAGTACTCTTCATCTTGGAGTAGGCGGGTGAAACTAAAAATAGCCCAATCTCTCTATTGTGTTCCCTCGTGTGAGGCCAGAAATTTTAGTTTAATTTCGTTTTCTTGCACTAGAGTTCTGACAGAGCTCTAACTGATCACTCTATGATTAAGACGGCGGTAGAGAAAAAGTGGAGTCAAGAAAGAAGTCAGTTTGCCTTTAATAAATTACATGTGAACGAAGATAATGCACAACTAGAGTGATCAGTGCGAAGTTGAGAATCGGCCCTTTCGCATGGGAAGTTAGTCTCCTGAATACACCCGTCGGACGCGCAATAAAGAGATTGAAGTTAAAAAAAAGAGGGGCGTTTAATATAGACAACGATAGCAAGAAATATTTATTGAAAAGTTGTGCCGCGCTCTATAAAGAGAATTTTAGGCTCTATGTAAATTTTCAGTCGAAAACAGAGTCGAAAATGGTCATATTCGCGCAGATTAAACCGCCAATAACCAATCTGAACCTAGATAAGCTTATATCATAACCGAAACTGTATAACTATGTAGTTAAGCGTGAATCAGATGTCTAGTGCTAGATGGTCTGAAAATAAGATATCAGGCGAGGGGCGACCGCAAATAAGGTTGTCTGACTCTCGAGTAATTACTAGATCTAGTGTATGGCCATGTTCATGTGTTGGTTCAGCCACATGTTGAGTTAACGACATTGACTCCAGTAAATCCAAGAAACGACAAGCAGCGGGGTCATTGTGATCATCAACATGGACGTTAAAATCGTCAGTTAGACAGAGGAGATCATTACATAGTATAACAGAATCCAGGTATTCTGAAAATTCATCAATAAAACTGTTGACAGTCTCAGGATCATGATTAGTAGAATGCGGCGGTCGATAGATAATTACAAGTCGAATGCGTAAGGAGCCACTGCAGACGAGATACTCAGAAAATTCAAAGGAATTCCTTGAGCCAGATTCAAGCTTGCAAACATTAATGTTATCCCTAAATAAAAGGGCCGTACCACCGCCCCTACGATCACTTCTAGGGCACTTCTTTAAAATAAGACCGCTATCTGAACGGAGATTATAGCGCGGCTGTTCTTTAATAGCAATCAAATCGATCAAGTAACCAGGCGCATGACCGTAGATAGCTTTAAAAGTAAAAAGAAGTATTTTAAAATCAATACGAAATTTGACAGGAAGCCAATGTAACGAACATAGTACTAGTGTTATGTGAGTGTAGCGAGGGACATTAGATATAAGCCGAGCAGCTGCATTCTGCAAGCGTTGCAGTTTAAGTAGATAAACAGAGGGTACACCAAATAGAAGGCTGTTGCAGTAATCTATATGACCAATGATAAAAACATGGACCAAAGTTCGTGCAGACTCCTAGGACAGATATTTTCGGATACGTCAAATATTGTATAAATGGAAAAACCCAGATTTACAAGTTTTGTGGATCTGTTCCTGGAGTTTCAAGCTAGAATCGAACCATGTCCCTAAATTTCTTGCCACAGTGACAGGAGCAACGTCAATGCTTCCTACGGTCAGGCAATCAATATTTACTTTGGAAAGTTGTTGTTTTGTATCAATCAACATGAACTCAGTTTGTCATCATTAAGTTTAAGCTTATCCGTAAGCATCCACGTAAAAACGTATAAACAAAAGATATTAATAATTCAGCTTACTTATCAAGGGCATTCAACGACTTTTTTTAAGCAAACAAGAATCGCCGAAAGGCGATTTTTAACTGGGCTGCAAAGGGGCTATTTTTTCTNGGGGGGGGGGGGGGGGGGGGGGGCGGCTATACGCACTCAGGCTACCATAAAACCTTGTCGACGACCATTACTGAAACATAAACTCATTCAGACCATTGTACGCTTTTGAAAGACTTTTGTAACCAAAGAAAAAGAGTACCATTTTTAATTGGTGGCTGTATAATAACTTTTAAATTCCACCATTCTGAATAAAAATAAACAAGTTAGCCGTTAATTCTAAGCAGGAAACAATTTGCATTATTTCCACGCACCCCTCCCCCAATCCGTCTGTGCCCCAAACTATAGCGTGACAGTATAACGTGACTAACGTGAAGTAACCGGAAATTCCAAAAATTGTTGTCGTTCTACGAGCATAAAACGCGACAGACTGAGCTGATTTACACTAGGCAGTAATATTGTATTGTATGAAAACCAGAAGTATACTAAAACAGACAGTTAACTGCCCATTGATCCCGCCTGATCCAGGGGCCTCACTGACTGCACTGAGACTTAACTGCGCTTTTCACAAACATGCGAACTCTAAAGTTCAAGAGCCACCTTCACAATTGTGTTTATCACTGCCGTCAAGCGTAATTACGATCACAAGCAACGAACCTTGAAACAGAGAAACACACAAAACGGATCGAAATCCACGAATCACAAACCATGATCTTTTGAACCCGTGAAGTAAAGTTTTGTTTCCTAAGAGGTCCGTTAAGATGATTGACAGCAGCGAAAAACGCAATCGTCGGTTGGCTTCTGAACTTCAGAATTCGCACTATTTTTCCCACAACATGAAAAATATTCAGTTTTAGGATTTTCCTCATGGTATTTTTCTCTAACTTAAACGAATAAAATCCTTTCCATTTTGTGACCTAAAAAAGTTTAAAGATTTCTCGCTCGCATGTTGCGTTCATCATCACGCGCTTCAAACAATGTAAATAGATGAAACGATCGATAACATATTTTTTACCTGATACCGATATGAGTTAAAAATTCGCTCGAGTTCTGTTCGTCTCACCCATGACTAACTTTTCTTCATGGAAGATAACTATGCCGCTTTAACTCCTCCAAAGTTTTTGTGCCAGCTAAACAATATGGAAACACTATTCACAGTGACTCCTTGGATATTAAAAAGACTGAACGTGACGCACTATTATGCCTTTGTTTACTTCTGATCACATCTTCAAGCGAAGTGTCTNTATGGAAACACTATTCACAGTGACTCCTTGGATATTAAAAAGACTGAACGTGACGCACTATTATGCCTTTGTTTACTTCTGATCACATCTTCAAGCGAAGTGTCTCTTTTCAAGCGATTCATCCCAATGCACAATAATTGACTTTTATATTAGTTAAAACCCTATGGTTCATTTATATTAATGCTGTTTTTGCCCCTCGCATTGACCGTGTTCGTTCGTATTCAAAACACCTTTAGGAAAATAAAGGTCGTATAAGTCATTTGCATTATGTTCCGAGATAAATGGATTTATACGCTTTTTTAAGGCTCCATTTTGCGGTGATTTCAGTTGACATCTCCATAAAATGGTAAAAGAAATATCAAGAAACATCACGAGAGCTGAAAATTTTCGAAGGCATGTTTCTGAAACTCGCTAATGCTGACATCAATATAGTGTGCTTGCTGAATGGGCGAAAACACAGAATTGTGATCACAAGATCATGTACAAATTTAATGATAAAAGTTTAGCAACATACAGATACGAACAAAAGCAAACCCGCTGAAACCTCGACGTGGGCTACACTTGTATGCTCTACTCAGTCACCAAACCTTATCAGTAATAGCTCCTATTTTCCTCAAGTCGCTCTCTGTGAAGCTCCAGGATGGGATGTCCCGGTGAAGCTTTAAACTTGTGTGCGAAATTCTCAGAGTTCCTACTTTTGTCCGTGTCTTCTTTATCCTCAGTATCCGAAGTTTAGACCTCCAAAGTGGCGTGTGTTACGTCAAATAGAAGGAAATATTTAAAGGAAAAGCCAGTTTTCTAACATGGCAAAGTTGTCACGTATTCATCTGCCATTCATCGGCAACTGAGTTGTTCGCTTCCCTGACTACGACAGCTTACAATTAAGTCTTCAGCCACAGTGTCGTCAACTGGTGAAATACTTTTCTCATAAATTGTGCTTCTTAATTGCTCATCACGTACTACATCGATCAATAATTCTCTCTTTGAGTTCACGAAGCGGCCCCGGCGTTCCAAACCTGACGTTCACAGTCATCTTTTAGTGTGAACCTACCGTGAACGGCGTGTGGGTTTGTATGCAACGTGAGCATTTCTCTGAGTTTCCCAGCGCCAACATCATCTAACTGACTTAAACTCGAACAATAAAAAAATTATAGAGTGACTTCTATGATCAACGCAAATAGCCTTTTTAGGTTCGCAACGCCTTCTGGGTTTTTCAGGGGGAGCGGAGACAAGGTACAAAAAGTATCCGTGCAAGGGTTCGTGCAAGAGAAAATCATATGAAACCACTTGTGAGAACATCGTTTCTCGGTACCAGACCCTCGTGTCTTCCCTCCCCCGGGAGACCGTTTTTCGACCTCGACGACCGAAAACCGAATTTATGACGGCCACACAGGCAGCCCGGTAAATATTTGTCTGAAAGAGCAAATATTGCCCATTTGTAAAAAGAATTTCTAAAGCTCAAGAAAGGGGAAAAATTTAACTGGATAACCTTTCCATTCTTCTAAGAATATTCGGATTTTTTTTTACTTAGTACGATTTTCGAAGGTTTTGTTTTTCTCATTTTAATACCGAGGAATTGCTATTATTGTTAAAAAACTGAGTTTTCCTGAAAATTTCGGTCTAATGTTGAAAACTATAGTGTTTGAATCTAGACAAACCAAATTCTTCAGAACGAACAGAAGGGTCAATGCTTCCTTCGCAATGATAGGCAGATCTGCTTATGAAATCCCCAATGACCGTGAAACTGTTGTGGTTGGTCAAGTTAGCCGTAGATGTCGCCCCAGCCGATCAGTCTCGTCTCGTCTCGTCTGCAGTTCAATCCGAATTGTCCCGGCAGGCGGTAACCAGATGTCTTCAGTAGTCCCGGTCTTCGGTAGGGTGTCGTATTTCTATCTCCATCGGTGCTCTGGAGCCTCCCATAATGACTCTTGAGATGTATTGCAAAAACAAAAGTTTATGCCCGCCAACACTTCGTCTCCCTACAGATGGTACATACAGGACGAATCTGTTGATATGATCCTCCTTGTCGCGGCGAAGTGAGTGGCCAAGGAAGCGGAGCTACCGTCCTTTGACCTCAGATGACAGAGGTCGTTGGTGACATGGTCACGGCGACTGATGCCCAACATAACCCGAAGGCAGTTAAGTTGGAAAGTGTTGAGCTTGTCACACCGTGATTCAGTTAGAGTCCATGTTTCCGACCCATAAGTAAGAACACTCAGAACGGTACACTTGTAAAGGCGAACCTTGATAGCAATCGGCAAATCTCCAAAAGGCATCCCATTCCTGACCTTGTAGTTTCTTGACATCGTTCTCTGTGGTGGCGATAAAAGAACCTGGGTAATTAAAGTCATCATCGAAGTCAAGGTTGATGTTTTTAACTTGCAGTGGAGGTGACCATGGATGATTGAGAATCAAGAATTTGGTTTTGGTGGCATTAACATGGAGGCCAACATCTGCGGCAGCAGCAGCTAACAGCTAAGACAAGCCGATCGTGGAATTTTTGAGCGTCTCCAATACCTGATGGTAACATAGCAATGTCATCTGCATAGTCAAGATCACTCAGCATATATAATGGTGCCTTCATGACTGTCTAGGAATCATGACGAACCCAGGATTGTCAACGGTAGCCTGGCGCATAACCCAATTCAGAACGATTAGAAATAGGAAGGGTGCAAAGTGTCACCTTGAAGTACACCAGTGTTGACATTAAATGTGTTAGGGACACTGCCACCAACTAGAACAGAACGCATCCATTCCAATGAAGACAGAAGTACGTCCTCCTGTCTGTCGAAAGCCGGAAATAGTCATAGCGACTTTTGTCGTCGCACGTGGTTTGGAAACTATTCTTTTGGACATAACGAGGGAGGTCGCCAAAAAGATCCCAGGAAAAAGAAAGATCTTTTGTCTACAGGTTGGGAAATCTCATCTCGTGGCACGTGTAAGGTTTAGATTGTCCCATGATGATAACCACGGTGGACAAAGTGAGGAGGTGATACTTCCCTCACTTTTCTCCAGATCGAGGAAAAAAGCAGTTAGCAATTTATTCCAAAAAAAAAGTTGGCAGCTTTTACTGTTGAGGACTGAAATACGCAAGAGGGTTGAGGGAGGAAAAGGGCCTGCTAGAAATAGTTGACTTTGAAATGAAGCCTAGGAATTAAGGAAAACAGCTTCTTTTAATGCATTCACTCCAACTCCAAGTAATGAAGAAATTTTTAACTAGCTGTGAAATAATATGGAACACGTCTAGACCAGAAAGAGAGACTATGGTGGAGGAAGTCTGAAATTCAAAATGAGGGTTACAAAAACGGAGAGGGGCCGGCAGGACATGAACCTTCCCAGAGCTCATTATTTCGAGAGACGAGAATTCACTGGTTTAGCTGAAAGGCTCTCCTATACATTAAAGTAAACAAATTCTAGCGCATATTTTACTGAAGTTCAAATGGCGCCTAGTATGAGCGAGGAATTATGGATAAAAGATTAAAAAAATAAACACGAAAACAGAAGACGAAAATCTGTTCTCTTTCTGTACTTAATTCTCAGGAATTGTACTCAACGCCCAGCGGAGGGTACACTAAAACAGTCCTGGTCAGCTTAGTTGTGCATAAAATAATGGGAATACCGGAGTGTTTGGGGGCGGAACAGAACACTGGAGAAAAAATAAAATCAGATAAACCAAGAGCCATAATGCCTCTGGGTAAACTCATCAGCGGTCGGTGTGGGAATATCGCACGTAGCTAGAGCTACAGGAGCTCAGTTCCTTAGCAGAAACTGCAGCTGGGCGAGAAAGAAGGAAACGCGACGCGAGCCTTAGCGACCAAAACGAGGGAGATTATCCACAATTAACGGACACATAAGATCGAAGCATGAATGCGTAGGATACCGTCCTAAAGACGAGAAAAACGTACCAATTTATTTAGCGCACGAGTCCATTTCTGCGCAAATGTACCAATGAAATTAGCTTGTGCAGTTCTTATGTTCTACAGCAAGTACCCTGTCAGGACTACTTATTGAGATTATGCAATTAAATTACGAAAGAGAGGAACCAATGTGTCATAGGCTCGTGCAGATGAAAGAAATGCCTTAGTTGCAGTTATCCTTTCCGTTATTAGCCTGAGTGAGTTGACGCAACACGACGGCAGAAAGAAGAGGACGGCAAAACGCTTGAGTGTGCATGACAAACGTGATGGAGCTATTACTTGCGTGTTTTGTTGGAAATTCACTTAACATTGATATTTTTTGCACTTCTACAAAGAGATCTCTTTAATGGAATGTGAAGTTTGGCGGAGAGTATTTTCAAACAAAATTATTTTCACGCTTGTCACACAAGGTTTGCCATTGTCTTTCTTCTCCCGTCCTATTGCGTAAGTTCACTATTAGTTTGTTATGCCTTGTCCAATTCCAAGCCCCAGTTCCTCCTGGTGGAAGGGGGGCTTCTCAATGAATACGAGCAGGCTCCGCCGCGAGGTCCAACCCCCTACCCATTTTTAGTAAAATCAAACTAGTGATCTATTATCAATATCTACGCATAATGTATTACAATCTAATGATAATCTAAAATGACTGACAGAGAATTGTAAAATTAAACGATTATGATGAGCAGTGAGAACAGCTCTGACATCCATCATCTATCATTGAACTTATATCACTTTTACGAATTCTGTCTTTAAAGATGTGCAGAGTTTTCGCTGATGTTAAAACAGGAGGTAATTTACGCCATAATCTAAGCGCAAAACACCTTAAAGAATGTTTACCATACGTTAAAGTATTATATCTAGGAATAGAGAAATCCGATTGTCGTAAAGAATAAGAAGCATAAATAATTATTATGATTATTGAAAAGATTACGGAATGATATAAGTTGGATATAGATTGTGCTTCACTTCAGTGTACATAAGGATGCAAATATCTTGAAGGCGCCTATTCAGTAGAGTCGGTAATTCTGCCCTTTTAAGAAGTTGTGGATAACTTGCGTGCTTGTCTCTATATACAACCTTCAGTCCCCTTTCTTGCAGTCTTTCTAGTTTTCGCCCATCACTACATCTACAAAAATGCCAGACTAAATGGCAATACGTAAAGTACGGTAAAACTGCTGATTTGAATAATATTAGTTTGGCCTTAGTTGGAATTAAGTTCCTAAGTCGCATGAGCACGCTGATTCTTTGACTAGCTTCCTTACAAATTGTGCTAATGTGACCATTAAATTTAAATTTGGAATCTATTGTAACACCTAAGAGTTACATGGCATTTATTTTCTATTATTGCCTTCATTACTCTAATTTTTTAACATGTCTGGTTTACATTTATGCCGATGAGTTTAAGTTTTTACAGCCTGTTGAGCTAAATAAAGTCTCCACGTCCCGAGGGGGTCGAACTTTCATCAAGGTCATCCATATGCGCGCCTAATTTCATACCGCGCGAGTGCCTGGCACTACCGAATTTTCCCGGACTTTTTCAAAGTCCAGTTTCAAAATGGCGGATAGTCAGAGGATTGTCAGAGTAAAAACTCGAACGATAGCATTCTTTATCGACGAAATATTGATCAATATTCCCTCGGAGAATCTGCCTAAAGTTAGTAAGGAAAGGATGCAGTATTTCTGTCATGCCCTGAAGCTAAACTTAAGGAGCCGACACTCAGCCGCAAGGTCGCTCGAACCAAAGATGATTATAAATTTTCCACCGGCTTCTGTAAAGGAGAGGATCATTGCAGGTACAAACACAGATGTGATTATGTACGTACCGATCGTAACCTAAGTATGCTGGAGCAAAACTTAAAAGGGCAGTACAGAAGGGCCTACCTGGATTATTCCCGTCGGGAAAAAGAGGAATGTCCCTGAAAGATACCGAATGTAGTGTACTTTAGGGCGTTATATATGTTAAACCTGGTGTTATTAAGTCACACAAGTGCAGGAGAATAAGGGACTAGTCTATACTCAGTGCATGCTAGCCAAAAGGTAGCAGTACCTGACATCCTTGACTGGATTACAAGCTGATTGCCCAAATTGTAAACATGCGGCTCGTAGACCCAATAAGTTCCAAAAAGAGGCAGCTCAACAAGTGAGCCCTTGTAAGTCATTGCCATGTGACATTTTATCAATGAATTTACACATGTCTTGAGTGGTGTCTAAATTACTAGAATTGCAATGTAACTGGAAGGTACAGAATCACACACACACAGGGGCCTCAAAAAGAAACTATGTACTATATACAATTTATCCCCCCAAGAAAAATTACTCATGTTTTTTAACATGGCTCAATGCATGAGGTCTTGTCACAGGAACTTCAGTCTTACCGAACTAAGACTGAAGTATACTTGCTTTTATCTATGTTCAGTGAGAATTGTCTCTGGTCTGATCTTTAGGAATTTTGACTGAGACCGTAGGCAGCGACGGAGAGAAAACCTAATGTAAGCCTTGCCTACCTAATACGATGTGGCCCTTTCACTCAGGGTCATTCTGGCGTATTTCGCATTTTTGGTAGTCTTTATTTTACGGTTTGTAAAAACAGGTACACTCACTCCCTTATCATTCCCCAATGTTCGGTCGGATCCAGTGCCGTAGAAAAAGCTGAACGCGACGGTTCTTTGTTCAAATTTTTTGTCGAACAATTCGGGAATCCTTCCATTACTTCCAAGTAGCGAAAGTCTCCGATTAGATCTTTCTTTTCTCAAGATTTTTTATCGAAGTTCTTCGTAGCAGTAGAACAACTGTTCTTTGCTGTAGAATATTAACTTTCTGGAGTAATATGGCCCTTAATATCTTTTTAACTGCACGCAATGACCTTTGCTTTACCCTCCGTTTTGGAAGCCATTTTGAATCCGGAATTTAAAAAGTCCGGGAAAATCCGGTAGTACCAGGCTCCCGCGCGGTATGAAATTAGGCAATGCGCCGATTTTTCGCTACCGCATCGAAGAATGCTGAAACCACTTAAAATAGTCTATGATGACATCAAGTGGAAATATATTGTTCTAAAATTCTGAGAGACTTAAGATAACTAACAAAACATGCAAACGCGTCACTCGCATTTTAACTGGAGACCGAAAAAACCCACTCGAAACTACCTCAGTCTACATATATGATATATATCTGGACCACTTTAAAAGGATGTACAATTTCACCAACAATGGACCTGTTTTTCTTTATCCCGAATATGTAGCATAAAAAGCATAAACAGCACGTAACTTAGCATCGCCTGGTTCCTGTCTCGATAGTTTTATAACGCGTTAATAAATGAAGAAGGAGAGAATTTTGTGTTTCTCTCCAGCTTTCGGTCTCCTCTTGGATCCCCTGTTTTCCGCTTCTTCCTCCCCAGTCTTACGTCTCCCTCTCCCCCTCCCCCTCCACAAATGACTGTCCCTGTAATAACTTTCTTTTATAAAATAACTAAGATAGTACGCGCGCTCTGATTGGCCGAGAGGAGTGTTTGCATGAGAGTATGTAAACATGATTGTGGCGTCAAGTAGTTTGGCTTTTCGCGCGCTAATCACGCAAGCACAAATTTGAAAAAGTTTTCGAGTTCAAAACTCGACAAGTTTACTTTATTTACCCATTCCTTCGTCGGCTGAAACATGGAAAATCGTTACAAGGA